AACAACGATATAGTGAAAGTGTTTAACAATGCTAGAAAAATTGATAGAATTTTTAAAGGATTTCTCATTTCGAATTCTCATCTATCGCAAGAATTACAATGTACCGTTTACAAGCCAACCACGATTTATCATCGATTACACAGCAAAAACGTTAAATTACATTATTATTAAATTAATAACAGTAATAATCGGCGATAAACATCGATAGGCATCGACGATATTACTTCTAAATTGAACTCGATTTACTACAAACTTGACCGTATAGAAAAAAATTAGAAACACGGAAATTACATTTTCAGATTTATCTCGACTCAACCTGAACATGCAGTTTCTATCAGGCTGTAACTACAGCATGATTGGAGGCTCGACGCCAGTTTGCTTGCCGCTACAGAAAGGTCGCGTTGGTTAGGGTGCGTCAAGTGTACGGCCCTTGACGTGTTTTCTTGCAGGGTCATCCAATCGAGCCTACTATTTACACTGAGCCAACCCCATCGAAGATAAACGTGCTGGCCCTTGAACTGAGAAGACCGGTTCGAAGCACTTTTTTCACACGATCCGCTGAAAATTAACGTGATTACTCGATGACTTCATGAAGTCTTGCACCGTCAGTTCTCGGTGAATACCTCGCGTTCTTTCGACGTCCACCGTTTTACGACATATTTGCCATTTCTGTTATTTTTCACATTTAAGAACGCTGTTTGGAGAAGGAATCTTCCTCCTTTCGATTTCTTCACTCCCTTAGGTAAATAAGGAAAATTTACTCTGTTCGTTATTTCAGCGAATAACTTGCGACGTGCCCTTTATTATTTGTTCCTGGAAGAAATTTAAGCAATTCTTTTGTACTTGATTTTTTTTTTTTTCTTAATATTTCCTATACGTATAGAAGTAAGTTTCCCATTTATTTGTAATGCTGTGACTTACATTTTTGCAATGAGAAGAGTGAAAGAGAATAATGAAACAAAATTGCACTTTTCGGAGGATTAAGGAGTTAAAAATATGAACTCCTCTAATCCGAAGTCTAAATGCAGAAATCCCATACCAGAAATCCTCGATTTTCACATTTTCATGCATTCCAAACGAGTGGTCTCCTAATTCGAACCATAAAGTTTGCGCACCATACAGTCCCACTCGGACTTAGAGTGTTAAGAGGCACAAGATAATTCAAATTTTTTTGTATCAATAAATTCTTCATTCGATATCAAATTGATATTGTCGATGAATTTTTTTTAAGCTTCAGACCAGAGCTGATTCACAATTTACAGAGATACGAAAATAATGCACTTAGCCTTTACGTTCTCCTTAAATCTATCACTCGTTGTTACGTTGTTTATCTCGCGAATTCTTGGTTGAATCATTCTCTGTACTGTCAGAACCATCTCAAATACCACAGCGACCTATCTATAGACCACTCTGTCCACCATCATCGCAGAAGCCATGTTTGTTTTCCTCGTGTCCGTCAACGTCCATCGGTCCGCGCAGAAAATCCAATATCCCGGTTACCGGCTATACAGAAAGCGCCAACCTTGAACTCGAAATACATTGTCGGCTTCTATATACACGACCTACCCCATGACGAGGCACGCGATGCTGATAGCGGGGTCGAAGAAGCAGACGAACACGTGCAGCCAGTGTAAATATTTAGCCTTTGGAACGTTTGCACTCCGTGCTGTGTGTGTTGTACTTTTCCTCTTCTTCTCTGCTTCTGGCTGATCTGTTCGTAAGGTCGTGGTGAGCTTTCAGGGTGAGAGAGCGAGCAGCACGCTGTGCGTCTGTAAATATCGACGACGAACGCGTCCGGATTGCACCGTAAAGAGATTAAAAGGGAACGGTTTCACGACGTGACAGCCTTTTGATTGATACGTACCGTTGCTTTATTAAATCGCGATAGCCATTTCACCTCAGATGGTCGCGATAGATACACTACTGATGGCTTTTTGCTTTATCGCGATACACCGGGGTAGGCTTAAGCTTGAGCGATTTCTCCTTTTGGACGATGAACGACCTGGCGTTTCATTTCTGACGTGTGCTCGCGGTTATGGTAGGGAAAATTGTCGAGTTTGTGCTTGTATAAGGAATTGCTGGTTGCAAGATGAATTAATTGTCTAGGTGTTCCAGGGACCAAAAATTAGAATTTTTTAAATTTAAATTAATTAAATGAAATTAAATTTTCAAAATCTTTAACTTAAGGAATCGTTAAGAAAAAATTGTTGCTTAAGTTGAAGGTGTACTATCTAATTGAAATATTTTGAGGAGATCCTTCAGAATCTACCATGATTGAAGAATATTAATTTTTCAGTGTTTTTGGTTACGAATAATCAGTACAAATGATTACAATTTCTCCGAAAGGCTCCATTCCCTATTTCAACAGAAATATCATAGAAACATCCTATCTCAAGACTCGTCAATCATAGAAACTCCTCTGTTCCACGAAAACCGAGCGCAACCTACTTCTCCCAAAATTATAATTACAAAAGAACTCTCTCTACTACTTCATTCACAATCACAAAATAGTCCCCAAGAAAAGACACACACAGCGTTCCTATATTCCATCTATCACACGACCAACGAAATCGTAGCAGCCAAGCGACAGGTGACCCACTTCCAAGTAAAAAGAACTCCGACCAACAAAAATATCTCTCCCAACCACCTGTATTTTATCGCACAAAGATTTCCTCATCCTCAACCACGTCTCTAACGTCTCTCCACTCTCTCCGACGTTGTCGGGGAACGAACGTTCGAAAAAAAAACTCCTGCTCGAAACGAAACCGACGAATCTCTCCGGTCGAATTCGACGCAGACCTCCCCATACTTAAATATTAACGAGCAAAGAGATTTCCATGATTCGACTAGTTGGGAGGATCTCCGCATCTACATGCTCGGGCCGATCGACCGAGCAAAAGGATCGGATAATTGAAGTCTCCGCTTCCTCGGGACTCTGAGCGTTCCGGAGCGAAGTCCTTAGAAGGAAACGGACCCCGCCGGTATCGCGGACATGCGATCTGTCTTTATGGTCCGAAAGTGGGCGTCGGTCTGGCCTCACAATGCCGGCGTAACGACGACACAACGAGGACAACGACAACGACAAAGATGGACCCGACGAGAGAATGAGGGACTCCTGTCTTGTTAACCCGACGAAACAGGGCGACGCGTGTCTCTTCACTGACGCGACGTCCTCCGCCAAGAGAGGCGATAGCGGCTGTGAGTTACTGTACCTTTCGACAAATTATTAAAACAAGCAGAAAAGTTGCCTCTGGCTGCGCATTTCGGATACAAATTTCTGGACGGTGATCGTACCTGCTCGTGATACGCATACGGAAGGTTGTGACGTTTGTTTGGGCAAGTGAAGTACGTCGGAATCTGCGAGAAATGTGCAGGATATGCACGAAACGTACTACGATTTATATTGTTATTTCTAAGATTGTCGATTGCAAATAATCGATAATATTAATTTAAATGTTGAGAAAGATAATTGGGGCATATTTTAATTTGGGCCAGTAGCGTGATTCAAGCTTCTTTGATCTTTAAACGGTCACACCTTTCAAACTGTTATCAATTTTTGGTATCACGTTGAAATCTCCTATCTTTCGAGACGAAGATGCATCGAATTAACTGTGCAAAACGTATGCGCTGTACAAAATAAAGAATACGTTTCCCAAGTGGCACATGTTTGTCTTTCATCCATAAAAATATGAATTCCGTATCGACCTTAGCAATTTAACTAAAAACAAATGAATTGTCAAACGCAATTTTACTAATACTTTTACATTCGTTTCAACGAGTACCGTCGTGCCTACTGTACTTATTTATTCAGGAATTTTCGTTAAAACAATTCAATTTCCCTTTTATATTCTAACGTCAAGCAGTTTCGCGTAACAGATGAGAAAAACAAGATACGCGCGTGTGTATGTGTTGCACCAACAGTGATCGTGCATTGTTGTTTGCTAACGCGGCGGGAAACGTGGCACAGTTGGATGGATTGTGAGCAATCCAGCCACGTGAATTATTCCATACAATTTCTACGTGCCTGGAATTAATTATCCGGCAGAAAATTCACCGGACTCCACGGGGACCCTGGCCAGTCTGCAGGATATCTATGGATCTCTGTCCTCTATCTCGCTTTTCGCCATTACACAGTGCAATGAAACGACTCCGGGATATCGTAGGCGTCCTTTGCAACCTCGAAGCACCGCGTTAAACGATTACAGTTCCAGTACGGTATTTTTGCGCCAGGACAAGAAACTGATCGATCTGTTATTGCGAATTTTGCGTGTTTGCTAATGTTCTACTTTCTGGAACCTATTCGTATAATAGTGTTCTAATTTTTAAAATATGGTATATATCGGAATTTCTTTACCCTAGAGCGGTAAAGAAACGTTTGAGATAATGTTAAGGAACGTAAACTTGACAACAGCAAAAATTACTAAAAGTATAAAAAGGCGGTGGGTTAAAAAAGACCCGAAGACCGCTCTAGGGTTAATTAAGTCAAGATTATTTTAACCCTTTTAACTCTCCCGTCGACATTTTTAAATTTCCAGTTTAAATACCTGTGCATTATATTCCGCGATATATTTTTTTTTTATTTAGATAAACAACACTTAAAATGATAGGCAGTTAATGAAAAGAAAATTAAAAAGAAATTAGGGTTTCAAAGGGTTAAGTTTAACATTGTAACATGACTGCTTATTATTTCTACATTTCTCGGTTTTAATTAAAAAGTATGATAACATTTTATTCAGAGATCAAACAGACGGAGGTAGCCTAATGGACCAGAAATATTGTATTTCCAGGTGTATCAGATCGAATACGTGATAGTAAAGGCAGCGAATTCACCACGACCGGCTGCATGGATTTTGGAGAGATCTGTCGGGGGTGAAAATTTCCAGCCGTGGCAGTATTATGCGCCAAGTGACGAAGAATGTTGGACGCGGTACTCTGTGCCGCCCGTTTCCGGAAAACCCGTTTACATCGGCGACGACGACGTCATATGCACCAGCGTCTATTCAAGAACGACTCCTATGGAAAACGGAGAGGTAAGATCACTTTTGTATAAATGTATCATTTTTCTGCCAGACTTTTATATCTCGTTCCATATTTTTTAAAATCATACTTTTTACACTGCGAATAGTGATAACTATAAACGCAGAATAACAATTTCCGGTATTCATAAATTGACTAAAATAATTGCTCCAATCGTAAGTCGAAAGTACAGTAGTTACAAATTTTTCAGCATTTTTTATTTTCACTGTTTTATCAATGGTCGATAATAGGCTAAACAGTGTTCGTTGATAATTGTGTTCATTTATTTTGTAATAATTTTATAACCATTTTAAAATTTATCCTGAACGCTTCAGAAAAAAGGAAACGCTGCTTAAAGAAGAAACTCTAGATACATAAATCTCTATTTCTTCGTAACGTATTAATCACACGATAAGAAACGCAACACAAATTCTTCACAAAGTGCGAAGCAACATTGCCGCAATTTTCCACGGATTCTCCGTAACGAATCTAACATACTCATCACTGTACCCCTGTATCCTCTATAAATCATCCTTTTCCGAGCCAAATAACACTAATTAACCGGCAAAGGAAACAACAAATTAATTTCTTTCCCGATCTCCGGTTCCCACTTTAATTTTCACCGATCATCAATTACAATTAATTCTCCCCTCGCGAAAAAATCTGCGAAATGAAATTACGGGAAAACGGCGTAGTATGATTCCTATATGTTAATACCGCGTTACCGAGAGAAACGGGTATATACACTTGGCGCGATGATTTACGATCTCCTTTTGCAATATCATCGATCAACAAGAAGCAGCATTTACCCGGCGAAGGAAGAAATCTTCCCCGATTGCTCGTTACGGTGGCGTCAATTATCCCGCGATCACAGCTCTTCTAGCCTCGCTTCTATTTGTTTATTCAATAAGGAGAGTCACGTAGAAACGGTTCTTCGCGGATCGCTTCGAGTGAAAATCAGGCGAAAACGACTGTCGGATGAGAGCGAGTAATCTCGACGCAGGAAGAAGAAATCGAGGAGAACTCTAGCGATCGTGAATCGTTGCTGATTCCCGTTAAGAGCCATCGGTGTGTTATTATTCGGAGTTGTTGGCGAAAATCCACCGGCGCGAAATCCACTGTTATTTTCACGCTGACGCGGTAGCCGTCCAGCCTCGGAGATCATTAATTATCGTTCATTCCATGCAGTCGCTGGTGTAATTACATGATTGGATGATTAGTCGGCCAGATGTGCGCGCTCGAATGCTCGCGGGACGGAAACCACTCTGCTCAGGCATTTCCGCTGAACCGGAGGATTTTTTTTCTCAGCGAGTAGCCAATCCGCTCGATCGATTATCTAGTCGACCTTAAGGTATGGGGTAATTTTAGAGCAGTTGTGCTGCGGGAGGTGAACAATTGTCGGGGAAGATTGGTTGACAGTTGGGAATGACACTTTCATGGATTCTCGGTGAGATTTGTTCGTGCTTCTTCGGTGTTCGAGTTCTATCGATGCAAGGCTGTGTTAAATACGAAAAGTACAAGCAACTTTTATACATTTTTTTTTTAGAGTGAATTGATAGGTTTTGAGTTTGAAAGCTTCGAAATCTCAAGTTTGAGATCTTATTTTCGTTCTGTCGTGGTCAAAGAATTTGAATGGTTTTGAAACAAAATGGGAAGGGTGGAAACTTCTTCTTTCTTCCTTTATTTACTGCATTTATACAGAAGAAGAAGTCACAATTATTGTTATTGGGATTACTACTCAGCGATCTGTAATCGTTTGGGATCAATCGTTTCAAATCTTCATCTTACGTCTATTCAGCAGTCTATTCCTCACGTATTACGATACAAACGCTACATTTCCAAAAGAATGAGAAGGCCAGCTCAGTACAAAGAAATACTTTGCCTTAGTAGTTTTTGTGCCTATTGCTTCAATGCCAATTTACCAATTTATTCATCTACGCCACTGCCTGCCGATACAAAGAAACACTTTCCACGTTCCACGCGAGTAAATACACCAGCCTAATTTCATTGTTGCAAAACTATAACGCTGGCGAAAGCGCTAGATGGTGAAATGGTGGGGGCGATTAGCCGATTTCTCAGAAGAGCAACGGATAATTAGAGCTTATGGTCGTGCACGAGGCGGCGAGCCACGGGATCGGTTTTGTGCAAACTGGAAGGTGGATGAGAAAAGGAGGAGGACGGCAAGATCGATCGGTGGTGGAAAGAGAGGGAAAGGGAGAAGGAATCGATGATACAAAAACGGCGATCCCTACATTCCAGCCATGTATGGCGTAGGCTCGCCTTATATGGGGCTATCACGTACGCACCTCCTATGGGGGTTGCCAGTTTTACGCTTCTGTACGCGGCTACGGATCGACCAGGAAAAAATCGGAAAGCGGGGAACAAGGAATCGTGTGCGTCACAGGCGGAACACCGGTCGCGATTTCGCGGGAATCGTTGTCCCTTCGAAAAATTTACGGACGCTTTTTGAGCGGTTGGCTTGTTCTCTGGACAATTCGGGAGATTTTTGGAAGAGAGGTTTGCGTGTCGTAGTGATGGGATTTGAAATACTTGGAATTGTTTTGGAATGTGTATATATGACGAAAAATTTGAATTACTTCGAATATGATTCGATACTTGAAATTCTTGAGTCTTGAGTCTTGATAAGTCTGGAATCGTGAATCTTCATAAGTCTTGAATCTCGATAAATCTTGAATCTTGTGTCTGGATAAATCTTGAATCTTAAGTCTCGACGAATCTTGATTCCTGATAAGTCTTGATAAATCTTAAATCTTGGGTCCTGATAAATCTTGAATCTTGATTCCTGATAAGTTTTGATAAATCTTGAATCTTGGGTCCTGATAAATCTTGAATCTTGATAAGTTTCGATAAATCTTCAACCTTGAGTTCTCTGGACAATTCGGGAGATTTTTGGAAGAGAGGTTTGCGTGTCGTAGTGATGGGATTTGAAATACTTGGAATTGTTTTGGAATGTGTATATATGACGAAAAATTTGAATTACTTCGAATATGATTCGATACTTGAAATTCTTGAGTCTTGAGTCTTGATAAGTCTGGAATCGTGAATCTTCATAAGTCTTGAATCTCGATAAATCTTGAATCTTGTGTCTGGATAAATCTTGAATCTTAAGTCTCGACGAATCTTGATTCCTGATAAGTCTTGATAAATCTTAAATCTTGGGTCCTGATAAATCTTGAATCTTAAATCTTGATTCCTGATAAGTTTTGATAAATCTTGAATCTTGGGTCCTGATAAATCTTGAATCTTGATTCCTGATAAGTTTCGATAAATCTTCAACCTTGAGTCTTGATAAATCTTGAATCTTAAATCTTGATTCCTGATAAGTGTTGATAAATCTTGAATCTTGATTCCTGATAAGTTTTGATAAATCTTCAACCTTGAGTCCTGATAAATCTTGAATCTTAAGTCCTAATAAGTATCAAATCTTGAGTCTTAATAAATCCTGAATCTTGAGTCTTAACAAATTTTGAATCTTGAGTCTCGATAAATCATTGGTTTTAAAGTTTCGATAGTCTTGAAAGTCTCGAAACAAGATTTTCAATGTTCATCAAAGGTGAAGGAAATAATTTTGTGATAAAAGTATAATGCGATATCTCGTCATTTTTTAGCATCATTTTATAATCGAATAGGAATTATGTACACTTAATCTATGACTATTTTATTTTATCTACGACTATTACATACCGTGTAAAAGGTCGCGTATTAAATCATGAAATCAGGTGAAAAAATTCTGGAAAAGAATTGTATATAGGAGAGTGTCTATTCCGAAACCCGTGTAATTGTTCCGTATTAGGAGCCGCGGTATGCCATTTATGGCACTCGTGTTCTTCTTAACGCGCGGCACCATTCGCGAAGGATTTACTCCTTCGATTTCTATGCTCTCCTGGATTTAGTGCCGCAACTGAACGTTTGTATTTCTTATTATTGATTGCTGGTGTCGTGTGTTAATACTACTGAAACACGAGAATAAGTTATCTTTCTCGCTTTTATTCAGAGAAAAATGTTACGAAGGCTGCAATGTAAGACGTACATTTATTAATTAAAAAGATGTTGAGATAATTAGCTTTATTAATATTTCACATTTTCAATATTAAGTACCGTTATTAATATTCAACACTTACGCTTGGATATATTTTCAAAATTTTAAAGCAAATAGTACGTTTAAAGTAACTATTTATTATCTCTGCAATATTTTAGATAAATTTTAATAAATCTCACAATTTTGTTTTTGAAACGAAATGTTAACTTCAGTATCAATAACTAACTAAACAAAAATTTCCTACTTAATTAATTTCACTGTTAAATACTTTTACAATTTTATTTTTGAAACGAAATAACTAACTGTACTAAAGTATCAGCTACTTAACTCGGAAAATCATTTCAAATAATGATCGCAGAAATATTCTAGAGTAGATTTTAAACGTTATTCAGAACTGAATCACAAAAAAAAAAAAAAAAAAATACTTTTGCAGAAGAATTGGATGAAATTTTAGCTGAAGCAACGATTTCCCTTTACAGATCCATACTCACCTGGTGAACGGTAGACCTGGTGCCCTGAATCACAGCACGACCCTTCAGGAATTTACCCAAGCCAGATACGTACGGTTTCGATTGCAGGGTCTTCGACGAAATGGAGAAGCGATCGCGGACAAAAGGCGCGCTTTTTACTCGATAAAAGAGATTAACATTGGCGGAAGATGTCTGTGTTCCGGTCACGCGGCAAGATGTCGTTATAGCGTTCAGCACGGAGTGAGTAAAACCTATCGTAAACATTTATAATCTCCTTTCTACTATTTATAAAACAGAACTTAAAAAAAAAACAATAGTATAGACGGTGAGTTCAACATTTCTCTACAAGAAACGAGAATAAACAACGTGAAAATTTACAGGACGTCAGAAGAAATTAATTTATTTCGCAATAAATTCTCGATCGAGAGTAAATCGTGAATTAATAACGTACGATTTTTAAGGACTGTAAATGTTCTGATTTATCGACGTATACGTTTAAGTTGTCAGCAGGTACATTACTTTCACGTGTGGAAGTAGCGATATTACGCGATATTTGAGATATCGGATTTGAAATACGCGCACGTACGAATTTTCTGTTTCACGCGTTATCCGAGAAGTTACGAGCCCTATAATTCACACGTGGACTTGTGCTAAATTAAAAGTCGTAAAATTCACACATCGACCCCCCCGATTACAAGTTCTGTAATTAACACATTCGCCTCGAACCTGTTGTCGGATTTCTCACTGAGCAAATGCCGGGTGTGCTTTTTGTTCGCCGTGAAAAATTTGGCTAAATATACTTTTAAGAACGGTTCGTAAAACGTTTAGTTAGAAAATTAGACGTGCGACTCGATTATGTTCGTTCAAAGTAGTTGGAGAATTTCTTATTTAAGACAGCGTTGCTTTACATTCCAGAGCTTCGTTTTAAAATTATTTAAAATTTATTCCTTTAGTTGGTTTGTCCAAATATCGTGTTTTTGATGTTTCTTATGTAACTTTTTCACTTGCACCGAAACTCGATTATTTTTAATATATTAACGTAATGAGTGTATTTTTAGTATTATAGAGGGAAATTAGTTGCCTTTTGGAATACTTTTTCTAAGAGCACATTCACTATTCTGGGGAATAATATTATTTTAGAACATCATTGTGTCGTGATACAAATGAAAATACAAATAATTGGAGCATCCTTTAAAAAAGATCGACTTCACTCGTTCACTCAAAATTCAATACCTTAAATTCTATTTACCTTCCATTTTGACCACAAAATTTATCAACAGTCGATAAAACTTAGAATTAAATTACAATGCAGAGTAATTTAGAATTAAATTACAATACAAACGAAATAATTTAGAACGAAATAAAAATACAAAAATACGCTAGAATAAAACAGACGATCTGAACCGTGAAATTCTCTGGAACGAGAGAAGATCTGGAAATCAGCGACACAAATAACCACCATGCAAGGTCTGTCGTCGAACAAAAGGAGCGGAAATGTAGAAAGCAGATCGTCACGCGGTTCCATTTCCTTCTGGACAGTCTTTTCTAAAGTTAGATTTCGCGAATATCCGAGATTCGAGGGAGTTAGCTGCTAGGGTCCAGGAAATAAATCTGTCGGAAATGCCATAAACTTGTCAGACCTTTGTCTGCCAACGCTGCTAATGGCAGGATCGCCTCCGTTTCAGGCCTGCTGCCTGTTAGAAGATTAAAGTTTCTTGTACGATCGCGCGGGAGTTGCAGAAAATTTTCGGGTGTCGTTAACTTTTTTTCAGGATCTGCCTTCGCTAATGAAAGGCGGAGTTGGCTCGAGGTAAAAGGAGGAGGAAGAAAGGGTTATCGAATATTTGCGGTGATTGAGGAGTGAAATTTGTGAAATATACACTGCCGGCAGAAAGTTTGGAATCACCTAATTCTTTATTGATTTGAAATTGATGTTATCGAGATCAGCAGCACTTTACCTCATTTCGAGTGATTTGAATGATAAAAAATTATTATAAATGCTACCTTTTTGGAGGGAATTTTTGTGCAACTTGCACCGCACAGTGATTCCAAACATTTGGCCGGTAGTGTATACTTCTGCTTCTTTTCTTGATAATATAAAAACAATGGACTTGGGTGTTGTAGATCTTCTAGAAAAAAATATGATACATAAGGAGAAATTGTTGTTATCTTTTAGATGTTTTTACTAGAAAGTACGTATATTTCAAGACTAGAGTAAAAATTACAAATTTTAAAGTAGATGAAAAATCGATATTAGAGGAGAGAATGTTTTGTTCAAAGATCTTTTCATTCGAAAAGTTAAGTTTCTCTTTTGTAAAGAATCCTGTAAACAGAAATTAACACTAGCTGTAATTTTATAAAGCTCGTTGATTGCTCAAAAAGTATAATTACGTTGATTTCATGAATTTAATTGTTCGACTAAATAATAAAGTAAATTATTGTAAATATTCTTTAGAGGTTCTTTGGCAATCTTAGCTTAGTATTTTACAATTATCTCAAGGATAAAGTAAAGAAACATAATGTATTATAAGTTCGAATAATATAATTTCAAAGAAAATCAAATCGATTTTCAATTTTCATCCAATAGTTTCGTATATATTTTATAATTCTTCTGTGACGAACATTCGATAGAAATCTATATGACAAAGTTCACTAAAACTGTAATAAAATGTACTCAATTACAAGCAACAATTATCTATGAAAAATGAATTACTTTCTCCGAGAGCTCACCTACGCCCGATATGGCAAAATCACGCAACTGCGGTACTAAGAATCTTGCATGCTATTAATGTCCATAAATGGCCAATCGCGAAGTCGAGCTTTAACAATCGTGCTCTTTCGGTGTCCTCGAAAGGGAACCAAGACTCTTGTTAATTGTTGCGAAACGTTTCTTCTCGGTGCATTAATCACCCTCGCTAGTGTCGCGCCGCTTTGTATTTAAGAAATAATAAAAACTGAGAGGAAAAAAAAGAAGAAAATCACCGGTCGGTATTTCGCGTCAAAGGACCTTCTGTCTTTCTCACGTTCCATTATTCTTGTATACCTGTGTGTGTGTGTGTGTACAGGTGATCGATGTTGAACTCGACACGTTATCGAATCGCTCGTACGAGTTCTAACCGGGTTTCAGTTCAAGGATCCTTTTAGAAATTCTGCTGGATCTTTTACGAGCAGATCTGTCATGTTTAGCGTGTTTGACGAGGCGATGTTTTAATTTGGAGAGTAATCTGCATTTGAAATTGAACATTATGTAAATTACATAAATTCTGAGAAGATTTCGAAATATTGTTGTAAGAATCGTTGGAAAAAATCATCGACCGTTTAATATCGATATTATATTTTTTCTCAGATACACTTTTACATTTAGATTAATTGTAAAATTAAGGTCGGGAAAAATAAGAGGTGATTTCATAAAGAAATAAAAGAATTCTACTGTTTTACAATATTTTCAATATTGATGAATATTGGTTAGGAAACCTGAATAATTGATAATAAAGAAATTAGATTCCATTTCACTTCAAAATTATTTTATTTATCTTACTTGAAATTTCAACTTAGCCAATATTTCGCGTTCAAATTCAACCAAGTCTTATAAAATTGAAATACCACCAAAATTCCTCCAAAAAATTTAACAAACTAGCGACTATACTTTCACCCGCATAATTTTTATCATACTCCATTCAAATCGTATCTCTCCATTCTCCACGAGCCCACAAATTACTCAAACCATAACAAGAATAACCAAGCGACGTGCAAAACGTCCTCGAATAATTCTCCGCTTCTGTTACAACGTTTAAAACATTTCATAAATCAACGCTCTCCCCGATGCCCTTTCTTTTATCCAGCATCTTCCACGTTCGTTGGCTATTCACCGTTTGATTACCTTAAACGCATCCGCCACTTGTCGCACAATGGTTTCGCGAGGGCTCGTTTAACGGCGACCGAATGCCGCGACTCCTTTCTGAACACCGAATAACGAGCTTCTGGATCCTCGAAAAACTTCACCGGGGCCTCGATCGAGTGGCGATTGAAGGTTTTTACCGCGACACCGTACACTTGGACCACCGTTCGATTAGAATCGACTTTTGGCCAGGCTCACCGGGGCAAATTGAATTAGTTTTTGGGCGGGTCTGGCACACCGGGTTATCGACGATTGACCGCGTATGCCGAATTGCAATCGCATTGCTGAATACGAAGCCATCGTTGGAGCATCCGAGATATTTCCAGTTACGTCTCAATCAACCTGTCGTCGTCGATCATATTGCTCGAGTATTCGTCGTGGTTCGTTCCCCCCTTTTTTCTGCCCTGAGAAATTTTATTTTGGTGTTTGTGAATGGGAAATTATCGATCAAATTTTGTGACTTTTGTATTATTAGGCTGTTAGGGCTTGCGGTTGATCTTTCGATCGTTCAAGCTTTACCAGTTTTTGCACGTGTGTGCCGACTAATGTTGTAAGGCTTCGAAGGACCAGTTTCTTGATTGAAACACTAAGTTTATATTTTATGTTCTATTTTCTACAACTAATTCAAGATATAAATTCTACTGCGAAGTGAGAGGTGTTTCTCTTGCGAGTGGCCAAGTGATTCTCCCGCGAGTTGCAAAGTGTTTCTGCTGGAGTCTCTGCGGTTTCCCTCGACGAAGACTCCTATTTTCCTAAAAACACCCTGATTGGTGATTTTTCCTTTTCTAAATCACCAATCAGTTTACTCCGGTGCATCGCAACCTCCCTCCATTTCGCCACTTTTCTATTTTCCGTTCGGAGACTCCAGGATTTGTGGCAGGGTCTGGTCCTAGGGACTAAGTGTCGCAGGCGACGCAATAAACACTTGTGGTGTTTTGAGAAAACGATATTTGCCTGCGACGGCGACCACTTGACTCGCTGCCATAAATCCGGCTACAGGACACGCCTTAACATAGGTCGTTTCATAAGTTCGTGCCGGAAGCTAAGGAAAATTCAAAGAAATTTTATAGCGATGACATAGTGGTCTTAAGAAAAAGTGTTTTTTTTTTTTATCAAATTTAAAGATTCGTTGGAAATATTGATCTAAATTGTAAAATTTGACGCAAATTTACGAGGTGATTTAATATTTTTCAAACTGCTATTTATGTCGTATTGAAGAATATAATAATTAATAAGTTTAACACTAACCGTACCACGCCCCGGTCAAATGACCAGTTTTAAAATTTCGATTTAAAACCATGCACCTGTTTTTCCCCCGTATTTTGTTAGAAATAAAAGTATGTAATTTTTTTTTTATTATCTAAAGGCTACTTTCTGCGTTATTTCCTACATTAAATTGACAATCACCTGCATTCCTTTCGGAAGAAATACGATTATTTCGTAACCGGTCATTTGACCGGATACACATAAAGTGTCGATACGGTTAGTGTCAATAAATTTAATCCTATCACTTTATTCTTTGCTTCTCGTTCTTAACTGGAAACATCATTTTCTAATTTTTCTTTGAAATTTATTAGTCGTATTGATAAAATTAATAGTGTGCTTTAAATTATATCGACTAGGCTGCGTTTAAGTATCTTTTTAATACTGTTCTTCGAGTTGATTAATTACATTTTTGATTGCAATACTTTTATAGCTCGTTGTGTATCTTAAAAAAAAAACCAATAATTCACTGATAATTATAATAAATATTATTAAATATCTATATTTTAATAGATACGAAAAATTATCACTCGTTCTAAAACAACTTTATTCGTAATAACTTCCTCGACTGTTCATAATTGTCCCATAAAATTTCAAATCCCTTTTAGAAAGATCAATTTCTTTGCAATCTTTATAGCACTTCCGTTACAGATCTATTTGCAGAACGTTGATGCCACATAAACGCTCTATAAAATAACACACAAGCCAATCGGCATATGCAATTGTCGATTATTATATATATGTAGCGAGTTCTGACGTTAATTAAGCCTCGAATCCATCGATCTCACTAAATCATCCGATAACGCGTTTCATTGAAGCAATCATTAAACCGTTTCCCGCAGCGTGTCTATTCTTATGAATGACAATGCTCGTTAATGGAACACAATGAAGCCTGTGATGCATGGTAAAAAACTGAAGTGCAACTTACGATTTACTGCATCCATCTGGTACCCGAGTATCTCTGAGACACAATATAAACACGTCTCGTAAGACTTATCATTTATTGGTTTGTAACTGTTGCTCGTAGTGTACGATCGCTTTTCACGACGAATCTTCAATAATTTATTAAGATCACGTGCTGCACGAACGTGTGTGGCTTGTTGGAAAAATTCGAGGAATTGTAGCACTAGTAATTTCAACGTGTTAATACAAACGTAGATGACTAATTTAAATTTAGCTTAAATGCTTTTCTAATTATTAGATAACTTTTTCTTCGTTTCAGTTTAGTCAAATATAACGTAATATGATTAAATGTAATTTCAGTCCTTTTTAAATCACAAATTAAATTATTCACAGCTGAAAATTATAATCGTTTAATTCTACTGTAATGTGGATTAACAAAAAAAGATATTTTCAAGGTATTGTCTATAATGTTAATTTTAAATTTCAATTTCTTAAAATGAAAAAATGACATTATTTTTTAGGGTCGATGGGTGTTCGTAAATCGTGCAATAAAATCATAAAAAACATTTTCATATTAACTATTTAATAAATAGTTAATTAAACCTAAATACATGTACAGTTTTACATTATCAAAATGTTTTTTATGATTTTCTTGCGCGACTTATGAACACCCATCGATTCTTCCCTATTATCCGAGTTTTGGATTGTTCGAGGTAGGCTCGATCCACATCACCTCGGATAATCGAAACTCTACTGTAACTTCAATCCATTCTATATAAATTAAAAAATATATAAATTCACATAAATACACATTTTTCTTCGTTATTCGTTGAGAACGGCGTTATAACGAAACCTGGCGATATCGGAAAGAACGAAACGCGGTAAAGAAATGTTACCGTTCTGTCCTATTACGAAAGAAAGCCCCCGTGTTTCTTTCAACGTATAAATGAACAAGAACAGCTGATATATTTAAACAGAGAAAACATGGGGTTAAACTCTCGACGCGTGTGGTCTCGTCACTTAAAAGGGAAACTAAGCGACGCCTATTGGATCGCGTTCCGTACGGCAAAGTGCTCGATATTATTTACTGCCGTGATAATAGTTATCCTGATTGCGTGTATGGCAGCCTTACGCATATTCCGCGAGTGCAGCAGTAAATAACCGGACAGGGTTTTTAATAGTCTTCTGTTAGCGTTATTTTAGCCAAACTGAAACTGTATTTCGCGTCCGAGCGTGCAATTATTTTAGTAGCATATGAAATTACCGAACGGGTCGTGAACTCTCTTGAAACGAGTTTAGGAAAAATCTCTGCCTGATGACCGCTGTAAATTCAACGCTGAAACATAAAGGTTTATGGCGGTGAACGATTTTTACGCTGCTCTTGAAACGTTCAATTTTCTTTCCCGACTGTTCCATATTTGTATCTTGATTATTATTCCGATTCGGAATATATTTGCTTAGAAAAGTAATCTCGAAGATTGTACTTGTTCAATTAGGTTTATTTATCGCATACAGATTTTATAACATAACGAGATGTTGAGTGACATTTTTATTTTTATTTCGAGTGGAAGAATTGGAGGAGTATCGAACAGAAATTTAAACAAATTGGTATTTTAACGAATGATTTCTATTTAACATCGCTTGAACGAAAAATATCGAAATACGTATTTCGAAAGTCTAGACAATTTTAATATCAGTAATCTAAAAATGGTGACATTTTCAAGGTTTAATCTCAGGAATGTTATTCGACTATTTTCATTACACCTAATCTATTGAAAAATGTGACAAATTAGAATAATTGAGAAAGTAGGCGAAAGAAGGGCATGAGTGCAAAATACGAATGGCAAAATAACGAATGATAAAAATATTATTCAAATAGTAAATGCGGTATTATTGAAATATTTCAAAGCCAGACTTTATTAAATTTAAAAAAATGAAAAAACACATTTAATTTCTTACTTTTATTTATCAAACGCACCTGAGAATATCACAATACCGAGTTGTTGTGCGAAATAAAAATAACCACTCGCTCTTTCCACGTTCCTCTTACATCTGATCTTTTTAATTCTTTGTTTCGCACATTCGACGTACGTTCACTCGGCAACATTTTCACAGAACAATCCGTACACGTTGCTCCGTACAGAAAAGCTCGCGGAAATTCATCTGAAACCCATTACACTGGGCGGGACAAAATTCACGAGGCAATTGAGCCGCGTGCGAATTAATGTCCCCGATAACGCGGGCCAGTTATCTTAACGTTCCCATAAATTTCGAAACGTCACAAAGGGGCGATTGCGTGGTCGTTCTGTCTTCTACTCCGGGCGCAATACCGGATATCTGTATCGCGAGACATAAAGAAGCATCTTCGTGTTGCAGCAGGCATGTCGCGATTTATAAAGCAGGCTCATGCGCCGGCTGATATCCGTTACGTCTTCCGCCTTAATTGATTCGATGCTCGCGGAAAAAGGCTGGTAACCGGAAGTCTCCTATCGTTCCTCGATTCTTTCTTTCTTTTCTCTTTCGCTTCGACTTGATTCCCAGCGGAGTATCGCGTGATTCTGTGCTGGAATTAGTTTCTTGTTAACCCTTTCGCGATGCACACGTCACATGCGAATGCTGAATTAAAAATTGCAGGTTTTCTTGAAATAAGAGATTCTTTGAGAAAGTAATTCGGTCACGAAAGGGTTAATAGTAGCTTTTGATTTCTAACCCTTTGCACTCGGAGGTGATTTTGCTGTAGGAAGGGTTGCAAATCGGGTCTTTGAGATTTTTTCAAACTATTTTATTTCAGTATTCAACGTATTCTCTATTTCACTATGCCAATGAAATTTACAGTGATCCCATAGATCTGCTCTCTGTCTTCGTTAATTATTCACGATTATTTAATGTCGCTTCTCAGTCGCCACTCGATTGCAAAGGGTTAATTTTTCTATAGAATGAAAGGCAGCGTTTTCTGGTATGATTTATAGAAATTCTTTCAATCGAATCTGAGTTACGGAAGAACGTGGAGAGGAAGTTGTCGTTAAATTGGACTTGGAGTAATTGTTGAAGGCTAAGGGGAAAAAACAGGGAATGTCCATTTTTAGTGATTTTACGGTGTGTAACGCGTTGTTTTTATTTACTTTTTATCTGCAATATCAGCATTCGCGGAAATGTGGAAATTAAGCGATGAAATATTGAAATTAATTATGCAATGCTTACTTACATAGTAATACGCTAAACTTAAATTATCGCAAAGTGCCAAGGGGATGAAATCACCATGCGAAAGAATTAAGCAATTGGTACACAAAAACGCAAATTAAAAGTGTCGACAACGGTGTTTAAAGTATGAACCACAATACATCCTAAGAAAGCACAATACATTGCCTTTTCCACGATACACGGGACACTTTCACACTCCCACAGATAAAACCACAAACAGTTCCCTTGTCGCTTGAAACTCTAAGTAGTAAAATCCCCCTAACGTTTGATCCAAGGGTTACTCAACGTAAACGGAAAAGAAAGAAAGAAAATACATCGTTTCACCGGTAAACACGTTAGAGAAATGGAATATTTAGACGTTACCCAGTTATGCTATCGAAAAGATTAATAAGGCTCCATTAAGAGATGGTATTGTTTCTCAGCATCAAGAATGCGAATGCGAGCGCCACACGTGCGGCGAAAGATGCGAAAAATGCTGTCCCATGTACAATCAGATTCCGTGGAAACCTGGCACAGCTGCGAAGGGCTTTCACTGTGAGAAATGCAACTGCAATGGACATGCAACCTCGTGCAGATATGATCAGGATGTGGCCGACAGAAGAATGTCTATGGACATTCGTGGGAAATTTCGCGGCGGTGGTGTCTGCGTTAATTGCACAGTAAGCCCGAATTTCTCGTGAGAGGGATGTGTTTTGAAAAAGAAAAGATATAATCGTTTTGCACGAATATAAATAGGCAAGGACTAATATGCATATGATTTGTACGTTGTAGAGCATAATAAAGAGGGAAATGTTTATTTACTTTGTAGCTGTAATTTTACGTGTGAACACGTGCTATGTGGTGAGAGTGTAGTAGTTAGAGAGTAAATCGCTTCGTGTTATGTTTGTACCTTTACCACCGAGCACCTTTGTATTTTTCGTTTAGCTGCGCAGGTGTGCGTGTTCAGCGAGCGATTAAACGAGGAAAATTTGATACAGACGGAATGAAAATTGTATTATAAAAATAGAATTGCAACGAGTATCAAATTTTCTGTTATTTCAGAGATTACTGTAGCTACGGGTAAAAAATTTGTAAAATTCAAAGTAGAATTCATTATTTCTCAGGTTGAGAGTTTTTCTGATCTGCACAAAGTGTAACAATTTTCCTTATTTACACGCTCGCCCGTTGTACATTTTTCTGTTGCTCTTCGTAACACCGTACTGCTTCAATCAAGATTGCTTCTGAACCCTAAAAGTAACCCTCGAATGCTTCTTACTTTAATCCACAACGGAGTAATAATTTGCGCTTGAAATTACGCTTCTAATTTCTTCGTATCTTGAAAGTAACAAATGCGAAATACTTTTCCGACGTATTGCCTTTCGAACGTCGCTATTAATGTTCATCGCGTGAATGTAATCTGTTTCAGGAGCACACGGCCGGAGTTAATTGCGAAAAGTGTGAAATTGGTTATTATAGGCCGAACGGTGTTGCCCCTGACGTACCTGAACCGTGCTCGCCGTGCAACTGCAACGTGCGCGGTAGCACGGGTTACTGCACCCCGGATGACTCCTACACGCATATGGGAAAGGTAGGCATGCGTAGGTATAAAAACGCGTGCGTGACAAATGAGTTTCATTTATCTCGGAACCTTTTAATTTCGATCGTTTACTGCGAGAAAATCCGCCCCGAAGACGGTGAAGCGAGCATCTTGGAGCCAGGCGCAGCGCGATGGGGGCGACTCGCCCCTTTGGGTGTTTCCCTGGGCCTGTTCCGCGTAGGGGTGGACAGGGATCGGCAGGACGACGCGTTCTCACTCTTCACGAGACCCTCGAAGCACACTTTTTGCGAACGACGCTCAGATAACGCTCAGATAAAATTTGCAAATTAGTGACAGGACCAAAAATGGTTCGTCGAGATAATTGAATTTATTGTGGCTTTTTATTCGATCGTATGGTATTTCGATTCAATTGTAGATTTTAATTTAACCCTCTATAACGTCGTGTGACTTAGGAGTGACTATTTCATGTCAAATGAATGTTGTAAATTTACTATAATTATTCTAACTTTAAATAATATAAGAATGCAGTTTCTTTTATCCTGGGAGAAATGGGGAGCGAGTGAGGTGACTCTTCGGTAGCTTTCCAGGTGAAGATACATTCCTCGCGACTAACGTTTAAGACTAATATAATATAAATAACAAACTAAATTAATTATTATTATATATATTATTCTATTATTATCATCGATGGAACTTGTATTATATTAAATTTCCCGCGTTACAGAGGCTCCTACTGTATAGTAGTTCAGAAGAAAAAAATATTCGACAGGTGTAGTTTTATATAGGCAATCGTTGACACTTCATTTCTATCATATTTCCCGTGCATTTGTCACATTCCACGATTATCGTTGAGCAAATCGGTCTTGATCGCGTTAAACACCGATCGTGTTCCAGGTAGCAGGCGCTTGCGATTGCAAACCCGGTTATTCGGGATACACGTGCGATCAGTGTGCAGCCGGTTATCGTCAGTTCCCGGACTGCATGCCCTGTCCATGCGATTCCCGCGGGATTTTACCGTCTCACGACTGCGAGGGGGATTGTCTCTGCAAGGCAAACGTAGCTGGGGAATTCTGCGACAAGTGCAAACCCGGACATTTCGCTTTGACGAAGGAGAACTTAGATGGCTGCTTTCCGTGTTACTGTTTCGGGGTCAGCGATCGTTGTAGCATCGCCAAATTATCATATTCTACGGTAAGTTTCTTTGGTAATTGAAAGGTGGTGTGTTTGAAAAAGTTTCACGAGTTTTTTAGCGAGTAAAGTAGAGACGAACATTTTACAATGATTTTTTCTATTTATTTACGCGTAAATAGTATATTTTGTATTATGTAGCGGTCGAATAATCAAATTCACCTTTATTGTGTTCTTAATTATGCTGCGAAATTTTTAAATACTTCTGTAATTTGTCTAAATAAACAAGAGATATTTGTACTCGGTATTACTTTCGAAAAACAAACTTGACAATTTTCAGAAGCGAGCTAATTTGACAGATTTTCAGAAATGAGAGATCTAATTGGTACAGACACGTTTATAATTAATTAGCTAACTCACGAATACATACTTACATATACTTATCCAGTATTCGTTCAATTACTCCTTTCTGAAAACAGGAAAGAATATCCAAGAAAATGAAACCTGAAAATTATGCTATAAAGAAAATTGATATATTCGAAGGATATAAAGTAGCAGAAAATGAACGTAATACTGTAGGGATAATAATGAAATATCGCGTAACTTGGAATATGAAAATAGATAATTACATCACAGGTTAAAAATAATGGAAATTATGGCCTCTCAGTTGACCCCTTTCCATTTGAACACTCAATTCTTGGCATAGCCTCGATGCTCAGGTTTCAAGATAAACTGGATAAATGCACAACAACTATATTTATCTACTCACGAGCAAACGACAAGCCGGCAATTACTTTGTCGTGCGACAACTCTTCAACGTTGCTCGGATCGAGCGAAACGGACGGGAAAGTAACACTATGTTGTTATCGTTTTAACGCGAAACAGTGAAATTAAATCGTGCAGAATTCCACGAAGGCACCAGCTGTAAATTGCACGTCACACTCTGAATGAAATTATCAGCTAATTTATCAATTTTTCCACTGCATAATGCAGCTTTTTAATTGTTCAATTCTAAACCGTTGTACTTTATCTTTCCTTAAAATTACTATTATTACAGTTTAGACCAGTTTATTAAATCAAATTAATCGAAACGAACCACTAAAAATTAACTTATTTACTTTGATAATTTTTTGCTAGAAATTTTGGTGCATATTTGTTAAAAATTTCACTACACATACTGTACGAAGATTATAAATTTTCCTTTTCTTTAGTTATCATAATTAATTACTTAAAAAGTATAAAATTTCCTTCTTTTAATCGGAAAAATTCAATTCCTTCGTCCTCCGATTCTTGAACCCCAAAGAAATTGCACTCGGAAGGGAAAGTATAATTTCTCTCACTTTTCTTTTCGCATTGTCCAATTTATTTACCGATCATCTGCTCGGCAGCAAACTGGAAATTGTGAAAATATTTCGCACCTCTCTAAATTGCAAAATTATTCAACAGACTTAATTGTCTCAAGAAGTGTCATCTATCGTCGTCGATTAATTACAGATATCGTCGTTGGAAAATTGGCTAGTGACCGATATGAACGCAACTCGCTTCACAGCCCCTATTTTGGACACGGATAACGGCTGGCTGACGATAGCATCCTTCGACGTCGGATACGATAATCCTTTCTGGTTGGCGCCACGAATTTATTGCGGCAATCGCCTCTCGTCTTACGGCAGCAATCTTACTTATTCTGTCAGCTGGGTCGTTATGCGCGGAGACACCAGTGGAAAACCGACTACTGGACCTAACGTTATTCTAGTTGTGAGTACACTTTCGACGGTGTATCGGTAGTAACGTGGATAAGCGGAGATTCGAATTGTTTGCTGAGAAAATGAATTGCTCTGTTGGTAACTGGAAATGTTGATTATTTAAATCGTGAAGTGTCGATTACTAAAATTATAGTAACCGTGAAGATTTGTTCGTCGAAATGAGATCAAGTATTTATTTGAATTTTAGGATTTTAGTTTGTCAAGTTTTCTCGAGTTCCATTTGAATTTTATTTCATTTTAACGAACTCGTGTATAAGTTAATCATATTCATCGTTAGTGATCGTTATTGGCATAATTAGTAGAGTGAAGGATAAGAATACTTTTATATTCTTTAAGGGTAATGTGACGATGTCTTTATGAAAAATTTTCGATCGAGTCAATTATTTTCTTTAAAAAAAAAAAAAAAATGCCAAAGTTAGGTGTCACTCTCAGACCTCAAATTAACCCTTTAATACCCTTGTTTCAGGTGTATACTTATTGATACGACTTAGAAACCTTAAGAAACCTCTCATCGAATATTTAATCAAAATTTCACAATTGTTCGCTCTATTCCACATAACGTCCACACCATAGTATTCACGAGAGAACTGTCGCAAGTAGAGAAAACAAAATTTTCGAGTAGAGAAAAACGAAAATTTCTATTTTGAAAATTACTCAATTGCAGCATTATTATTACAGATAAAACTACGTATAAAAAGATATCCCGTAGAATAAAATAAAAACACTTTTCCCGCCAATTTCTTATCCTCCTCGAGCACGTTCCAAGTATTACAGATTCACAATAGAAAATAGATCACGCTGTAAGCATACCACAGTGAATTCTCTCTGTCGTTCAAATATCGTCCAAGTTTCCAAGCCAAACAACCGTATCTTCTTACTCACACGACATTACAGACCCTTTAAGATACGAATAGGTAGACCACCCTGTACTTCCTCACACATCCTTTTTAGGTCGTTCGTTTGCCCCGAAAGGTAGATTACGATGATTAGCATTTTTCTTTTTTTCGAATTAATCTCCTCGTCTCGTTTCCTCGCAGGGTAATAATGGCATGCGAATAGCTTACGGCGAGGAACAATATAATGGCCAGGAAGCAGAGATCACGGTGCCTCTACGCGAAGACGGCTGGTATCACGTACACGGCGAGATTCAAGATACTCTTACCAAGATGAGGAGGACCGAATTTCGCGGAGACTCTGTTACCAGGGTACAAATAATGGAGGTTCTCGCAGATTTGAAGTATCTGATGATAAGGGCGCAGTATCATTCGGAGCAGCTCGAGGGAAGGTGCGTAAATCAATTGAAAATTTAAGTAGAATTTCACCGTTTTGCCATTTTTCGTGAAATTAATTTTCTAATTGCTGCGTACTTTAGCCTCGATTATTCGCTGTTTCAATACAGAGACAAATTTAGAAAAATCAAAGTGTTCTTTTATAAAGAGAAGTTATTGAAATAGGGATACAACACCTTCATGCGTCTAAAAAAAGAAAAGTTTGAGAATTTTTTTCATAGCTAACCACTAAACGAAAAGTCCCAATTTTTTCAGAGCATATAAATCTAACTTTCAGCTTTCTTCTCTAATTTTTGAAAAGTAAACATATTTCAAAATGAATAAGTTTCTGACTAGATTTCCAACTCCTTTTTTTTTGCAATTTTGCTGTAATAAAGAAGCGAAAGAAAGGGTTCGATTTTGAAGTATTACAGATTATGTACCTAACTGGTTGATTAGATTATTTCTATTTAATTAAAAAAAAAAAAGTCGTAGGATTTATCAAATTTCCCTCCCGTTTCCTTCCGTTTCAGCCTCCAATCTGCGATCTTATCGATCGGAGAAATCTCATCCGACGGGGAGAATAATAATTTGGTCGAGGTGTGCGAGTGCCCGGAGGGATACACAGGATTGTCTTGCGAGAGTTGCGCCTGGGGTTACGTAAAAGTGGTCAAAAACGGATCCGACCATCAGGATCATCACGTTTGCGTGAGGTGTGACTGCAACGGGCACGCGAGCACCTGCAATCTCGTACTGGGAGAATGCACGGTTAGTACTTTTGTGTATTTATTTTGTAATTTGTAGATATCCTGTGATAATGTGTAGTAATTTAATATATAATATACCGTTTGGAGGATTTTTTTATCGTAATGAAATCTTTCGTTTGTTGCGTGAAGTATAATTAAAAAGATACAGGTGATAAGAAAGGTTTTTTCTTTATTATTAATTAAAAGTAGTTTATGTGCAACAAATTAATTTGAAAATTTTATTTAAAATTAATTTTCATGTGGATTTTCAGAATCAGAATTTTACATTGCAAACGATTTTGTTTTCTTTAAGGAGGATTCTATTCTTCTACTGGTTTATTCATATTATAAATACCTTTATATGACAATTTATAAAAGTTAAAATTAATTTGTTTATTAACGTCTGAAGGAGAGCAAATGAAGTGCACTGTTGTGCATGCAGGTAGTTACAGTGTGGACATAAACCTAACCGCATTTGTATAGATTCCTTCCTTACCGTGAATGACTTAACCATCCAGTGATTGTATAGAACGTAGAAGGTAACTTCAGAAGCACTTACCCTAAGAGAAAAGATGTATACTTACCAACTACCAATATGTAAAATCATAAAACAAAATTTTCATTACAACTTTAATGAAATAATTAAATAATAAACTCATTGTTATATTATTACAACTTCTGTTTGTAGCATCTGATTTGATTAAAACTCGGAAAACTTCCCTATTTATAAATACAGCTAATTTTTGCATAACAGGTGTTTTAAAACAAACGACTAAAAATTACTATTTTCTCTTCCCTTTGGTTTAGATATTCAACTGAAATTCGTTTATTCAAATAAATAGTAAAATTTAAGAATCAGTAAATTTGCTCAAATGTGTTCAGATAAATCAGATCAATTTATTATTAAAATAAAACTCTCGTATAAATGCTAGGTAAAAAAGGCGTAATATTGATTCCTTCGATAGACTTGCGAGCACAACACAGTGGGCCCTAAATGTGATCGCTGTGCCCCTGGTTTCTACGGTGTTGCCCTTAATGGAACTCCAAACGACTGCCAGAGATGTGCCTGTCCACTTTTGATCGAATCGAATAACTTCAGTCCACATTGTCAACTCGACGATCCCATAGACGTCGATAGTAGATACGTGTGCACGCAATGCCCAAATGGATATACAGGTGACCACTGTGAGAGGTATGCACCGAACTATCAAATCACAAAATATAAAAATTATTTTCAAACAGTAACTTCTCTCCTCCGATTAGAAAGTAGAAACTTTGAAGAATTTCTCGAACACCCCAAATTCACCTACGACTTTGACAATTTTTTAAATTTTGTGTAATCAGCTTTAAATATTTTTATTAAATTCTCTCTCGCGCTACAATATTCCTGAAATTTTCTTCGTTAAAAAAGTATAAGGAACAATGAAAATATTTTTTTTTTTTTTTTTTTAAGAAGATTTTCAAAAAAGTTGCATTTTATTTTCAAAGCTGCGACGTAGGATTTTTCGGAAATCCCCTGATACTCGGTGGAACATGCGAGTCGTGTCTCTGCGGTGGCGGTCCTTGCGATCAGGAAACTGGACGCTGCTTAGAGTGTCGCGGTAACACGGAAGGCTGGAGCTGCGACAAATGTAAACCAGCTCATTACGGAAATCCCTTAGAACAGAACTGCTTGCGTGAGTATCATCTATTACTTCTGGTTCGTTATTTCATCGATGTTAGCACGCGATATCCTGTGGATACTGAATGTTCTTAAACATTTTGATCGTTTAATGTTCTCGAATGTTTTAAACGAGCTACAACGTGTGTATTTAATACACGCAGTATATATTGTGGTTCGAACAGTGGTTGTAATTATTAGAAGCACGTCGTTCACTGTGCTATAAAATGCGTTAATCGTTTCAGTATGTTGTACAAGTTGGCCGTTTCGCAGGAACGCTGCGGCGGTATATCTAGAATTTTGTGAAATCTGTTGAATTATTCAATTTAAATGTACTTTTACTTCGAAAAAAATTAATTTTCCCACGGGTCATACGAACGAGTAAATTTTCATTTAGAAATCTAAATTCTCTCACGTGCCACGCGAATAAATAAATTTGACAAATAATTTTAGAAATTAATTTTTCTTCCTTCGGAACTTACATCGTTTACCATTTCAACTGCTCGACTCACCTTAGAATCTACAATCGTACGCTACACTCTAAGTTCCTATTCACGGTCAGGGAATGAATACACGAAAATCTCACGGTTTCAGCTTGCAATTGCGATCCTCTGGGCAGCAGTTCCGTCGAATGCGACGGGAGGAGCGGTCAGTGTCCCTGCAAACCTTTGTTCGAGGGTCGTGACTGCTCCTCTTGCATCGAAGGTTACGGGAACGTGACTGCAGGTTGCCGGGAATGCAACTGCGACGTGGGTGCCCTCGACGAGGTCTGCGATCCCGTAACCGGCGAATGCAGGTGCGCTGATGGCGTCCTTGGCTTCCGGTGCGATTATTGCGACGTCGACCATTACGGTTTGTCCGCGGATGGCTGCAATGGTGAGTGCCGTTTAAACAATTTTTTTAGATGAAAATCGCGATATCTTGTCGCTGACGTCTTCTGTTTCAATCGGGTGAAAAGTTGACGGAAGAAAGTGCTTCGCTGTAAGCTGCGAGACTGTTAAATTTGTTCGAGATAAGAAATTACGTTCTGGCCGAAAATCTTCTGAAAAGTATTCGTAGAATTTGTATTATCAAGTGTTTTTCTTGTAATAGTTCATGTTGCAATGACAATTGACAGCATACGAGAAGTGAGTATAATAATTGGACACAACTCGTAACGCTAAGACAACTCTGGGAGAACTGGTGCAACAGTCTCTGCAAAACTCTGTCTCTAAGAGTTTGATCACTTGAGTGTTACAAGTAACACTCTGACTCTATCGGTAACTCTGACTTCTATCTCTAACACTCTGATGATTTTTACAACACTTTCACCCTATCTGCAACTCTGACTCTATCTACAACACTCTAGCTCTATATCCAACACTTTGACGACTCTTACAATATTCCAACTCTGTTTGCAACTCTGACTCTGTCTACAACACTCTAGCTCTATATCCAACACTTTGACGACTCTTACAATATTCCAACTCTATTTGCAACTCTGACTCCACCTAACACCGACTCTATCCGCACAGAAACACTCTTCCCTCGTCTTCTTTCTCTCCCACCGTGCATTCACACTATTTCACAATTTTTTCCATAAAAATAATCAACGTTGGACCTCAAGCATCACCGAGGATTTTCGCTATAACTCTGTCTCGTATCCCTAACGACTCCCATTTTCTACAAAACTGCACACGAAGAGGCAGCATTTCCACGATACCACATATTTGCAATTCCAAGTGTAATTTTTCCGAAATATCCGCGCGCACAAGTAGCGCGGCGGCTCGAATGGGCGAAGAGAGCGAGCAGTTTCCGGAGGTAGGAAACGCGGCGGTGTTTCACCATCGAGGAACGCGAGCAAGAGTAATGCATAACGCTTGGTCTTGTTCTAACTAAGCCGTGGATGTTTATCTCGGGGCTCCCTTAAGTAGGGGGCACTTATCCAGCTGGACAACGGTCGTGAGCCGAGGATGTTACTTGAGATTTACAAGAGTCGAACCACCCTTGCCCAGTGGAACGCTCCTGACGTATAATCTGTTTAGCTTAGTTTTAATTTACGATTGCGATTTCCGCGTGCAGTACCGTTTTGCCTCGCGCGTTCTTCAACCGCCACTGACCTCGTGCTTGGGATTCCTCTGCTTCTTGCGCACGGGGGAACGAAAGTGGTCTGTTTCTGTGCTTTTTTGCTTCGTTTTCTTGGTGAAGATGAACGTGAATTTGTTAATCGTGCGAATTTTCACATTTGTAAAAAATATGGGAATTTTTTTATGTCGGCAAAATTGTCCTGATCCGTGCAGATAATGCTACAATGTAATTTCAACGAATTTATACAAAGAAACTTTGGTTTGCGAAAGTTAGGCATACTTGAATATAATTAAATTTTCGTCCAAAGCAATTTTTTGTAAAATCCTGAAATTTCGTTGCAACACTTACGTCGGACACCCCGTACACGTTGTGGCAGCAGCCTTAACCCTTTCGCGACTAGCGCCGGGTATATCCGGCATCCACTAAATGCTTCACACTGGCTAACGCCGGGTATATCCGGCATCCACTAAATGCTTCACACTGGCTAGCGCCGGTTATATCCGGCATCCACTAAGCGCGTCGCATTGGCTCGCGCCTCAACAACTCAAAGTGAAGATTTATTTTGAAATACAGAACAAAGCCTCGACAACATTCCCTGTATCCAATACATCCTTAATTCCTTTGCTGTTCCAACGAAATCCTCTAAGATTTTACACGGACACACTGGGAGCTTCAAAAACACGAAACACTCATGGTGCGCACTAATGGTACGACGACCCGTCCGTTAGTGGCGTACCGATGCCTAGTTCCGCCGTCGCGGAAGGGTTAGATCGCCGCAGCTGGTAGGCTGCGCGAGGACGTTGAAGATCAGCCAGCGCCAAGAATCCCGTAAATCGCAATCATTTAGCGCTAGGTCGAATGCTCGCGTAAACGCGCTTAAAGCTCCTCTTTGCTCGTCATCTCTGATCTAACCGTGGATCTAACCATGGCAGTTGCGTAATCCATGGCCACTCGCGTCCAGCGGTCCCGTTACTCGAAAGATCGATCGATCCACCCATCGTAAGCACGAGATGAATGTAGTCACTGTGCCCTTCGCGTCCCTTTTTCTCTCCTACATTTTTGTCGTCGCTGCTGAAACGTTTGAGTAAATTGCTCTTCGAAAACAATTACTTTTTTAACCTTCGTTTTTCCTTTTTTTGTTTCGTGATTTTTTAGAATAATGGAAAAAGTGTATCTAATAGCTTTTCAAATTAAATTGAATTATAGTTGGAATTTATGTAAAACAGTGTGTAAATAAAGTAATTTAAATTAATTATTTCGAACCCTTTTTTGAGATCATGGAAATTCTCGAATTTTTGAGAATATTTCAAACCCTTTTTCGAGATAATTGAGAAGTCAGACTTCTGCGCCATTTTTGAGAGGGTGAAGAAATTATTACGCGGGTAATACGGAGAATATAGTATCGTTTAACTAAGTAATTTTCTAATTACTTATTGTTCTCCGGTAGTTAAACACTAGTCTGATTTCACTCAGTTTTTCTACTCATTTTATCAAATTAACTCAAAGCTCTCAAATAAAAGCGACAATAAATCGAAATTACCTTTCTAATGACAAGTAGCAACTACACCTACCAATAAAAACTTCAAGAAACACGTTACAAAACAAAATTAACGATATCGAAGTTATTTTGTTCAAATAAATTCGAACTCACCGATCGTATCGCAAATAATCTCTCAAATCGTCCTGTTAAAAGAAGAAAGAAAAATTGTCACCGTTCCGCGACACATTCTGTTCGCCAGTTTTCCTCCACAGGACTGGAACCCACGCGAAAGAAAAGGGAATTTATTGTTTCGCGGGCTCGCAACTTATCCTCGGTAAGAAAGTGCGAAATCGAATCCTTATTTACGATTAGTCGAAACAGCGATCGAGGGACCGTATCTCACAACCGCTTCGAGATACGGGGACAGATATCGTAAGATACGGCGCACCGTACACGAGCCGCAAGCTCGCTTTAGCTCATTCTAGCCGAGCCACGGCTTGTCTGAGATGTTAATTAACTTCCTGCGACCACGTCGATACGCAGCTTCTTTCTTTCCAACCGATACGCTCGATTTCACTTATAAATGTCCCTCAGTTTACCCATTCGATGCTTCTCCCGGCGTTGTTCAACGCGGAAAAGCTGAATTTGCATTTTCGTCGAGTCTCGACCGATCGGCCGATTTGAATTTCGCGCCAATCCTTCCGCGTTTCTTCGCGAAACGTTGGTGAAGTTATTTTTATATTTTTCCTCTACGTCGATGGCCAAATTTGATTTGTAACGAAAGATGTGTGCGTTGGTGAAAATTAGAGTTTTGAGTAAATGGGATTAATGCAATTAAGTGTCGCATGGTTTGAAGTTAACCCTTTGCTTTATCATTTCTTTTATTTTTGTCGTATTTGTCGCTCGTTTAATTCTGTACTACTTTGTTAATTTTGTTAATGAAAATTGAATTTTCTGCGAATAGTAATTATATCTTGAAACCATTAACGATATTATAAATACGATTTTAGCTGGATTAATCTTCCAAGTGGAGATCAATTTTAATAAAAGAAGAAGTTCGCATATTTCTCAAAATTCTTTGCATATCTGCATAATGATAGTACGTAATCCAGCGTGAAAAGCTTAGACTTGATTAATAACGGCGAACCCTCTTATTTCCAGCCTTTTAAATAATTAAACTAGCGATCTGTAAAAACACATAATATATTAATTTATGCGCATAATTAGAGGATGTAACGTCGTTCCTATCCTTTCACCTCAACGCCTGGATCGCAGAAAACGATCGACGATCGTCGATTTATCATGTTTCACTAACACTAATGGCAACCTGTGCGCACATTGTCGCGCATTAAGCTCGCTCTTTTGAGCCGCGGTGGTAGTGTAGGTGGACAATCGAGTTAGCCTTTTGATACGAAACAACCTTTTGACGGGGATCTCGAGAGGCATCAGTCACGCGGAACGATTCTACCTTAGCGCAGAATCATCGCGACTCGTTTCCTACGGACAAACGTGGCATTGTGCTGATCGACAGCAGAACGTTCAGAATGAATTAGGGCCGCCCGTGCGTCAATTCCGCCGCGATTCACCAATGTTCGACGCGAGGATCGCTTTGGTAGCCCTGAAACGCGACGGAGATATGAATGATTTGAAAGTTTAAATGCTTCTTCATAAATGAATATGAAATATTTCCATTGTATTGTTTTTTTCGAAATTTTGTAACAGGTTTCATACTATTTCAGTCTTCTTAGATTAATTCTTGTTATTTAATGGAGAAGCGTAACGAGTGGATGATTTTCTATTTTTAATACAACGTTAGTCAGTTTTAATTTTTAGACGATTTGTCACTCAAAATAAATAAACTTAAACGTTAATTCTATAGCTTTTATGAAAAGTGCAGGATGAGAGTATCGTTGACGTAAGATGATAACGTATTCAAATTGTACAGTAGAAATAGACGTGAGAGAAGCTTAATAAAAATTCACGAAGATAGGAAATTTATAAAACTGTGTAATGAGATTTCTAAAAATTTTTGTCTCCTTGTCAGGTCCAAAAATATGCGTTGAATTTGTATTCTAACAATTTCTTTATATCTACTACAATTTCAGAGATATACAGGAGAATAAGAAAGCACATCAGAGAAGAACCAAGAAGTACCCTAAATTTCTATCAAGGTCTCATAAAAACCTGCAAAGTTTCGAAAAAATGATCAAAGTACCTAAGTACCCTTGTTACCGTACTTTACCGATAAATCAACGAAATACACTCCGCTCAGATTCTCGTAATAAATATAAACCACTTAAACAATTATAAAAATGACAGCAACAGATAAACGTTTCAGCTGTTACATTTTACTCCCTTATA